GGACCTGTGTAGCGAGTAAGCAGTTTTTCTTACAAGCCAACGTGACGGGTCGGAGACCAGAGCAGGACCAAAGAACCGGGCGGAAAGTGTTCGTCGCGGTGTCGTTAGTTATACAAGCGCCGTTGCTTCTCTTAAGAGGTCGGAAGGCCAGTACGGGTGATTTCGCGTGCGTGAGCGGCCCGAGTGATAGCGTCCATGGCATATTCACTCGTCGGTACTCCAGCGGACGGTATGACGGTGTCTAGAGGCAATATTGGTTCTCGGCCAAACAGCAGAAAAATGGAGAGTAACCGGCAGTGTCATGTCGCGAAGAATTGTAGGTGAATGTGACGTAAGGCAACGCGAGATCTCAGTCGGTGTGCTTGGTAGAAACATACTTAGCGAGCATGTCTGTAAGAGTTCGATTTAGACGCTCCATCAGTCCATTAGTTTGCGGGTGGGATGACGTAGTCAGCTTGTATCTCTTGACAGGACTGCAAAATGTCTGCTATGACCTTCGACAAAAAAGTGTGACCACGGTCTGTAAGCAGCTGCCATGGGTCTCCCTGTTGCAAAATCACGTCCTTGACGAGGAAGTCGGTGACATCTGTGGCGCAGCTTGTTGGAGGAGCTCGTGTGATGGCATAACGCGTGACGTAGTCGGTGGACACGGCTTTCCACTTGTTACCCGAAGAAGACAAGGGGAAAGGGCCAAGGAAGTCGAAGCCAACGCGGAAGAACGGTTCTGACGGAATGTCAAGTGGTTGAAGGCATTCGGTGGGAAGCGTCGGTGTTCTGTGGCCTTACATTTCTCAAAAGCTGCAACGTATCTTCTGACGGAGCGTGCAAGCCTTGGCCAAAAGAAGCGTCGACGTATTCGACCGTAAGTGCGTGACACACCAAGGTGACCAGCAGTCGGAAGGTCATGAAGTTCGTGTAGAATTTCCGAGCGAAGTTGTGGTGGAATGACAAGCAGCATGGCCGGTCCATCCGGCTCAAAACTTTGGCGGTATAATACACCGTCGTGGAGCAGCCACGTGCCATCTCTCTTTTTAACGAGCACAGCAGGGGACGCCCAAGGGCTCGAAGAGGGTTCAATAATTCCTTTGGCGAGCATCTTGGTGACGTCTTGTTGAATCACTTTACGCTCGGTGGCAGACACCCGGTATGGTCGCCGATGAATAGGATGAGAATCACCTGTGTTAACGCGGTGCTTGAAGAGTGGAGTCTGGCCGAGTGGATGGCTGTCGATGTCGAATATGTCGCGGTATGAAGCCAGAAGACGGCATAGCAAGCACGGCTGACTTCTCAGGTTTGAGGTCCGGGGCGATGATGGAGCGTAAGGTCGCATCGAGGCACGTGGCATCCTGCGAGTGACGTGGGTGATCGGGACATACGTCTGCCGTAAAACAGGTGACGTGGTCGTCAATTAAGGGTCTCAACGTGGAGACCGATATTCCTTGAGGGAGCACTTGTTTCATGAAACCGAAATCGATAACGAGTAAATATATTCGGTTAGAGGCCACGGTAACGACGGAGTGTGGTACAGTATAATGTCATAGGCCAGAAGTAAAAACGGAATTACTTATATTTCATGATGTGCAAGTATTTTGGACATCACGGTTATTCAGTTGCCTTACCCGCTACTAATGCAAAGGCTTTAAACGTATCATACCAACGTGACCTTGAAGGAAAAGCAGACGCGGCGTACTGTAAGTCTCGTAACCACCCGCGGTCTCAGGAATCGAGGCGCGCGAGTTGCGCTCAGTTCACGCTTGTTGAGTTCGTGTGTGTAAAAAAATAAAACTAAAAATTCGGCATTCGCGTGATACAAAGTTTCTGGTGGCAAAACAGTGACACTGGATAGTTTTCGTCTTTGAGTCGACTTAGGCGAATTGATAAAGAATCCTGCAAGTTCTTTACCCAGCTCTCAAAAAGTATTTAAGAATTGACGAAGCTTGCAGTATGTTGCACAAGGCTTGAAACAGCGAAGCTCTACGAGTGTGAATCTGGTCATTTCGAGGTTGGCTTACGTTAAGAGATGCTAGATTGTTTCTATAGGTTGCTCTTCAGCGCAGAGAGGTTCGAGTTACAGCACACACAGTCGCTGACACGGCACGGACATCATAACTCGCGCTGAAACAAAGCGTTCACACCTGTCTACACGCACTTCAACGTTCTCGTATGCTTCCACTGCTTCAGGTTCTCCTCGCAGCCACGGTTGCATTCCCCGTTTCTTACAGTATATATTCTATCGCTGCACGAACCAGTGACGCCCTCCGCACAGATGCTCCAGCAAAGCGGAAATGTGCGGCCACAGTGTGTCAAGGAGCTAATCCCGACGGGTGATTAATGCTTTCCTCTATGATTGATTGATCGATTGATTCATTGATTGATTGGTTCATTCATTCATTTATTGATATGTGGGGTTCAACGACCAAAACCCCGATATGATTATGAGAGACGCCTTAGTGGAGGGCTCCGGAAATTTCGACCACCTGGGGTCCTTTAACGTGCACCCAAACCTGAGCGCACGGGCCTATACTATTTTCGCCTCCATCGAAAATGCGGCCGCCGCTGCAATGCTGAAGTCGCTTTCAATAAAGGGCATTCAAGGTGAAATTGCGGCCCTGCCTTGTTATATACGTTTAACCACTAGCCTAACACTTACACACCTGCCATTGCGCCTGTTGCAGCAACCCGTACACTTCTGTGGAGCGATTGCTCATGCAAACTTTTCTGGATGTTATCAACAGCCCATTAACTCTAAGTATCAAGTATGCCACCTATAAGCAACCGCGGTGGTGGTGATGTCTCCACAGGCGGGGTGAGCCCGGCCAGCAATCGCTCCGCCTGAGCGACTCATTACATGTGGTTCGGCTTACCATACATCGCTTAATTCTCTCTCTCTCGCAGAAAGCGTAAAAGTATTCAAATATTTTGTCGCAAATGTAATTTTTCGAAGGTCACCTCGTGCCATATTCGCCTCGACAACGTAATTCCTTCTTGTAGTGGAAGTAATTTAATTAGTTCGTTGTTCGTTTTGAAATGTACACTTCATATATATGTATGTTATCAGTGGTTCATGTCAGACTACCGGAAATGACTCGTTTATTATTCAAGAGCTTGAGTAATTTTATGCGAGCGCATAATGGTCGCTTCCTTTTTTTCTTGCATTTGTGCTTTTTATACATTTTTTTACTTTCATTGGTATGTTTTGCTTTTTTTGCGTGACATGTGTACGCGTGTTTATGGAGAAATCGTGAATGAGAAGCTTCTTTTGCTTTTTGAAATATCCGGCTCTAGTTTAACTGCCTGACTGCACGCAGTTTAAGAAAACTATTTGTTACGCAGTAGACAGGCAGTTTTGGTTAAGCCGGGGCGTGAATTAGCTACAGGATTGCCTGCTTCTCCTTGCATTTCCATTAGTGCAAGTCATAATGCGAAAAAATATTAATAAATTTGTCACACGATGCACTGTTCGCGATTAAGCACGATTGGAATCAAATTTTTAAACAGTGATTGAATCCAGTTTGCGTTAAGAAGCCAATCAAGACAAAAAGTCCCAGCATATCCACGGAGCGAATGATGATGAGAGGGGGCGAACTAGCACCCGTACGTCTGTCTATGTGTGTGGATATGCTGTGCTGGCTACGCCGGAGGAATGGACTGCCATAGAACATGCATAACGGGATCCGTCCCTAAAAAGTCCCATTCGTATCAGGCCCGGTCGCGATCAAATGTGATCGTGTGACAACGTATTATAATACGGGTGACCTACGCAATAAATTCTGCCCATTAATTCATCCTCCTCAAGATGGATCTGCGAAAATAAGCAACAAAGGAAAATCGGTACAATAATAATAATAATAATAATAATAATAATAATAATAATAATAATAATAATAATAATAATAACGATGATTATGATGATGAGGATGCAACTATGCGTTCCAAAACCCCTGATATAATTAAGAGGTACGACGCAGCATGGAACTTCGGATTATTTTCGACCAGCTGCGGTTATTTAATCATAAACGGTCCTCCCAAATCCATAATATTCGTTGGGGTTTGCCGTCCCGAAACCACAATAGGATTGTGAGAGATGCTGTAGCGAAAATCTCCGAAAGCTGCGACCACCTGTGGTTCCCTAATGAGCACCTAAATCAAAGTCCCCTGTCTTCAAGCATTTTTGAATCCACCGAAAATGGGTCCGCCGTGGCCAGGATGCGATCCAGCGATTCGCGGGTAAGCAGTTGAGCATAAAAACCACCGTGGTGCGCTCCTAAATTTAAGCACACAGGGGCCCTTTTCATTCAGCCTCAATTTAAATGTGGCCGACGTACGTGACCGTGAGTCGAAACCATCCCCTCTAATTCAGTGCAAAGTGAGGCAACAGAAGAAAAGTACATTTCTTAGTACAGTGGAAGAGGAAGTACTCCGATTTATTGTAATATGCTATGTACTGGACCTCTGTTTTGATATCTCGTCTGAAGAGCTATTTATAGGGTTTTTCCCTCATGCGCCGCTGCTTTCACGTTAATAAGGTTCTTTACTCGAAGTGCTGCAATAAAGCAATTCTTGGTAAATGTCTTCTTGCTCACCACATATTTTCCCGTTTCCCGCGCTGTTGATTCAAATGCCGTGTGAAGTGCATGCGGTTTCAAGATGGCATGTCATTGTATTGAGACAACATTCACGTGTCTGTTTTGTTCTGGCCTCTTGCGCTGTCGATGTGTTAAATTGCATGTTCCGCAGTGACGCCCACATTTTTCGTAAAGTATACATTAACCAAGACTCAGTTGCCCTCGGTTACCGTAAATACATTTGGTTCGTGTAGCCCAGCGAAGCTCTGTGTAAGCCGAGTGCACTGAAGAAAGTGTCCAGGGGGACGCGCCCGTGCAGCAGCTGTGCGTTAGACTAACAATGCGGAAAGCACTCCGGGTTGGGCTTTATCTGGCGCAGACCAAAGAACGCGTGTCACCGAGCGAAAGAAAGGAGCGCGCGGTGCAGGACCTCACCTCGGGGCCTCTGGCGAAGCGGCGGTCCGTCTCCCTCAAGGACGCCCCGCGGCTGACAGTGGAACAGCAATGTCCAAAAAAAGAAATCCGGGGCTCCGGGTACCCCCAACGGACCCCGGCTTGCAGGGCACGCCTCCCTCTTTCCCTTCCTCTCTGCGGAGCACCAGTCGAGGCAAGCAGCAGGCGAGCACTACTCGGGGCCCGACCAGCCGCGCAGGCTCTGGTCCCGTTCGGCAGCGCCCTGCGTGCTTCGTCCCTTGGAAAATGGAGACAGAACAGCGAGGACCGCTGTCAAGAAGCTGCGCCGAGGGGGGGGCGGGCACCCTTGAGCCCATCGGCTGCCTCCTCGCCCCATGGCGTGGTGCGCAAGCCGGCGTGCGACGGAAAGCGATGTAACGCGACACTTCCGCCCGTTCGACGCCCGTCGCTCTCGTGGCCAGTTGGTGTGCTGTGCCGACGGTTCGTCTTGCTTTCCTTTCTCCCGATGCCCCGCCGCTCGACTTTCATCCGGACGGCAGCGCGTGTTTGGCACGTACGCGCGCGACTGTTCCCTGCCCGTGTTTCGGCTTGCACCGAAAACGAATGCCCCCCCCCCCCCCCCCCCACTAGCTGCCTCGGTGATTGCGCGTGTTTCGCAGTTATGGCCCCACCCGCTCACACTACGCGAGAGTTCGGCTCGGGGCACTTTTCGCGTCGGGCCCGCTTTTCTTTCAGTTTCTGTCCCGTCCCTCCAAGCCCGCCGCCGTCTCGGATCTTTCAGACTTGGAAGGGGGAGAAAAAGCGACCATTTAACGGAGTCACCGACGCCACCCTACAGTCTGCACGACTGGGACGAACGATACAATATGTTTGTCTTGTCCCCGGTGTCATCGTTCTCTGTCGTTCGCCACCGGGAGGGCAGCAGTCGCGAATGGCTTTTCTCCCGACTTCTGGGTACTTCATATTCGCCCTTTCGGTTCGCATGCCACAAGGAAGCCGTATTGCATCACGCCTGCAAGCGTCCCTCGTATAGACCTGGAATAACTATGATTATCAGAAATACGGCGCAAGTGTAATCAACTGCAGTAATTCTGTACGCTGTTATACACGCATCAACTTTTCATCGGCGATATCAGTATGCCTATCGGTTAGAACGTCTACCATGCGTAACATGCCAATGCGCACAAAGAATGGAGCAGCCGCACGTTACGCCCCGCCGCGGTGGTATAGTGGCTAAGGTCCTCGGCTGCTGATCCGCAGGGCGCGGGTTCGTATCCCGGCTGCGGCGGCTGCATTTCCGATGGAGGCGGAAATGTTGTAGGCCCGTGTGCTCAGATTTGGGTGCACGTTAAAGAACCCCAGGTGGTCTAAATTTCCGGAGCCCTCCACTACGGCGTCTCTCATAATCATATAGTGGTTTTGGGACGTTAAAAACCACACATATCATATAGCCGCACGTTACATCAGCTGGTGGTGCTGACAGCGCTGTTTCTAAGAGATTCGGACGAACTTCTACGTGTGTATTATTTCCGGAGGCGTTACCGAATGCTAGAGCCAAATGGGTATGCGCGCGGCCGAAGCAAGCAAGTGCACATTGGAACCTGGGTAGTGAATACTTCGCTAGCGTGAAAGGGAAAATGCGAGTGATTTGGTTGAATGATTGATATGAAACACTTCTGCAGGATCGCAAAGTATAAGCTCGTCAGGCACTGCATACCGAATCTTACGAGCCGATTGCAAAGCGCAAACCCTGGTACAGCATGCTTTCGCTAAAGCAACCGAACGAGTGGACGATGACAGTTAAAGCTTTATTTACCATAAAAAAAAGAGGAACCAATATAGCGGTTACGCTGCATAAAGGAAATCGGCGGTGACCCTTTAGAGGCGCAATATCGCCCACGCAATATAGGCTGCCTCCTAGACCAGCATAAAGCAAGAAAGTGGCACGTGCTCTCCATGGAGTTACGGAAAAATAAACGCCTCATCGCATCGAAATTTACGAGCGCCAATGTATTCCGATACCGCGACTTTCGCTTAAGTTCACGTGCAGCAGTGAGCGCTGTACTGTTGACATAGCAACGGCAGCTGCCTCTGACCGGTCAACTAAAACGAGCAGATAAGGTTCGTCGCGGCGTTCAATTTCTGGGACCTCCGTGCAAGATAGCTTGCCTAGGGGTCAGTCAACGCGTCAACGAGATAACAGGGCGTGCATGCATCCTTCACGAAGCTCTTGGGCCGCCATGTTGGCTTAGCCCTGTTCACTGGTTTCTAACGTCCATCCATCAGTGTGTCTGTCCTAGAGCAGATAACTACGCGAAGCACGTGGATATCAATGCTGATATCCGACGCCTTCATATTCGCCAAATCTGCGAGACTTCGCAAGTGCGGTGCAGGTACTCGAGCTAAATTGGAAGCATGGTACTTAAACAAAACTAACAGTAAGATTCATGCAACTCCATCCTTTATGATGCCAGGTGACGTACTTTTGGGCGCTTTCGTGTTATCGACGCCGGATTTTTCGACTTCTGATACGGGGTCGTGACCTTGACGAAAGCAGCAGTCGGCGGTAAACAGGAGCTAAAACAACAGCAAGCAATGAACGTTGTACACCGATATCGGCAAACGGCGCGTTGGCCATCGATAATCTGACTCGTGGTAAGGCGGTTCCCTACTTATGTATGCGGCATCGATGGCTAAGCCGCTAGAACGCTAGAAGATGGCGTTATCGCGGAAGCTTACGAGAGCTCTCGAATAAACTTGACTATTCTATAGCATCTTGCGTGTAATGTTATCAAAATCATCTTCGTTAAGCCACCCGAACATTGCGAGCGTTGATTGATTGATTGATTGATTGATTGATTGATTGATTAATTGTGGGGTTGAACGTCCCAAAACCACCATATGATTATGAGAGACGCCGTAGTGGAGGGCTCCGGAAATTTCGACCACCTGGGGTTCTTTAACGTGCCCCCAAATCTGAGCACACGGGCCTACAACATTTCCACCTCCATGAGAAATGCAGCCGTCGCAGCCGGGATTTGAGCCCGCGACCTGCGGGTCAGCAGCCGAGTACCTTAGCCACTAGACCACCACGGCGCGGCAACATTGCGAGCGTTGTCATCACCTTTCGTGCGAAAAACAGTCTTTCAATGCAAAGCTTTCACGTTCATAATCTTGACCACCTGTTTTTTGTTTTTTTAATTGAGTTTAACTTTAAATTTTGCTTGTTGTTTTCTGCCCCATAGAGATTCAGGTGCTACTGCCAGGTTTTAGTCAAACGGGCTTGTGCTTTGAGCTGTATAGTAAAACTTCCATGGTCGGTGACAGCAGTACTGAAGACTGCAATAGAATGCAGCTACCATCTGTAATGGCGGCTAACTTTCCTCACATGAATCGAGGCGTATTTTTTTAAATACCTAGTTAGTCAAGACGTGCCTGTACTTAGGTGAAGCGATGTAAAGGTGAATAACGGAAGCGTAAGGTCTGTGTGGAATTTTGTACTTATTTTCTGCCATCGTTGCAGATGTCTTCAGCCACTTTGCGTTGCGCAATAAAAGCGCGTAGCGCAATTAGGAGACAATGAAACCACAAGTGTATACGCTCAGTGTAGGCCTCCCCTTCAATGCAGCTGTCTATCTACCCGTCCACTCTGTCCCGCATGCCTTCATTGGTAGCCACGCACATATGTTAAGTCGACTCGTGAACAGAGACTTTATTAGACGCTTTCAGTTGGGCGTACGTAACGAGCCTACGTACGCGGCATGATACGTTGTGTACGCTGCATGCGAAGCACTCAACGACACTTTAACCCCCGTATTCACAAACGGCGCTCCTCGACTCGACTTGCACCCTTCTCTTGAAATAGTTGAGCACTGCGCCGCTGTTCGGCTGAAAATGACGCTGCGCTACTCAAGAATAGCAGCAAATTATCACTGATATGCTGTGACTTGCCCTGCCTAGAGGTGGCGCTCCCATCGGCTTTCTCGAGTGAAGGTGGCGCGTTGAGTGAAGAGGCGTTCTAGAATACGGGGGTTGGTTCACCGTATTGACCGTACCGAGATGCGTTTGGTTCAACTAGACGCATGTTCTTAGAAATAAAGCAGCTTTGGGTGTTCTTTAGCGCCCTCGTGCGGTGGCAGCGCAACATCGTCCCTCAAAGTAAAATATACTCTGTTTGGGTCGGCTTTGTTGCTCTCTGCGTTCGACGCCATCGCTGCCGTTTGGCTATCAGGTTCCTATATCAATAGAGATATCACGAGAGCGTCACGCCGCGTACGCTTCGCCTCGTCACGTTTACGCACGCCGCGTTTTTTATTTCTTTTTCGGGCGTACGTGCGCATCTCTATAGAATCAATGCGTTACGTACTGCACATGCGCAGTTCTCTCCCGTGGCAGTGCTCCGTACGTGGGCACGTTACGTACGCTCAGCTAAAAGTAGGGAGATTTAGAATAGCGCACCGCGAGCCCTTGCGGTGTGGTCGCTGCCACTGCGCATGCGTCGTAACGCGAGTCGGCGTTCGCGGACCGCACGCAGAAAATCCGAAATTGCGTGCGGTGATGGCGGCCCGCAAGCGCTGGTTTCCAGGCTACGGTGTCGCTGCCATCGTGCGTTGCGGATCGCAGCAAGGCAAACGCTATTCTAAAACTCATATGGCGCCCGCAACGCCAGCAGCGCTTGCTAACGGTATTCTAAAACTCCCTAATGTCTACCGTAGACATTAGGGAGTACACGACACAACAGTGTTGTGTACCGAAGCGGCTTGCGTACGCAAGACATTGGGGTGGTGGTAGTGCGCACGTGCGAAGCCCCGTGTTCATGCGTCGTCGGGGTCGAGCGTACATCACTGTTGAAATCTAAACAGCCATCTCTGGCAGGCCACTTTACCCATGACGTCCCCACCATTGCTCGCACGGCGAGCCAAGCAAGGGCTGTCCAGATAAATGGATTGATTGATTTGTGGGGTTTAACGTCCCAAAACCACCATATGATTATGAGAGACGCCGTAGTGGAAGGCTCCGGAGATTTCGACCACCTGGGGTTCTTTAACGTGCGCCCAAATCTGCACACATGGGCCTACAGCGTTTCCGCCTCCATCGGAAATGCAGCCGCCGCAGCCGGGTTTCGATCCCGCGACCTGCGGGTCAGCAGCCGAGTACCTTAGCCACTAGACCAACGCGGCGGGGCTGGCCAGATCAATCCACCCAAGCGCAAACACTGCAGATATTGTAATATATATTATACTCTACTAAAGCCAGAACATCATGATTCGACTGGCTCGATCGAGAGAAAATGTGCTACCAC